TGTAATATGTTTTCCCTATTGTACAAAGGGGAGAGGTGTCAGAATAAGTACTAAAATTCTTCTTGGTAATTTGAGCTAGAATTTATTTCAATGCCTCTATTATTATGTCGTTGAGATATAATGACACACAAATGAATATGGAGTACTGAGTCATTGTGAGTTAAGTCCAGGTCCTTAAGTGGAAAATGAAAGGCAAAGAATTCCAATGGAGGCATTCTTTTTTTTGTTTAGTGGAAACCTCCATGGTCAATTTGGCTGTGGTATTTCATATCAATCATAAATACAGCTAAGATGAGTAGACTCTGTTCTCTCAGAGTCTGGCTCATCTGTCTGCCGACATGGCTGATGTAAGATATTAAGTAGGTTGCCATGTTAGTTTCTAACTTACATAAACATTTAATAGTTACAAAGTACTATCTATCTATATCTATATCTATATCTATATCTATATCTATATCTATATCTATATAATTTGTTTTGCAGGAAACCCTAAAATCTTAAAAATACTTCTCAAATCTGAGGCAGGGCCTGATAGCAGGGCCCTAACTTTGTCTTAATGTGTAACATTGCATCTCTTTCTTATTATCTACTCATCTTAGATCCTGTCTTGACTGAATGCTTTAAAAAATTGAGGGGCGCAGTAGATAGAGCTCTGGCCTTGGAGTCAGGAGGACCAGAGTTCAAATTTGGCCTCAGACACTTACTAGCTCTGTGACCCTGGGGAGTCACTTAACCTCAACTGCCTCAGCAGAAAGCAAAAACGACAAAAAAAAATTGAGATCACACAAGTGTTGATTAGATATGTACTATGTGTTCAGCCCTGTGTTAGGAACTATAGGCATATGAGCCTATATGATTTACGACCAGCCATCAAAGAACATATAATCCAGCTGAGCTGAGTAAAATGCATAAAAGAATTGGAGAATATAAAACATGTATCTTAGACCTCAATAATTTTGGTTATTTTTGTGTTAATTAGAGGTAAAAGTTAACACACTAAGTAAAGGCATTTTTCCAGATAAAAGATGGGTTTTTTTGTTTTTGTTTTTGTTTTTTGTCCATGGAAACCACCTGCCTGCCATTATACTCAGTGATTTATAGGTTAATAGCATCAATCAGCAAGAGTAAGAATCATCACTTAACATGTGTCAGGCACTGTACGAAGAGAATGAAACAAATCTGTACTCTCTAGAAACTTACATTTTAGTAGTGTGTCTGTAACTATATAGAGAGTAAATATAAAGAGATAAGCACAAACAAGTAGTTAAACACAAGGTAGTTTGGGAGGGAGGACACTAGTAGTTTGGGAAGTGTCAAAAGGCTTTGTATAGAAAATGGTCCTCAGATTTTGTCATAAAGTGGAATTGTGTGGAGCAGTCACGAGGAGGTGTCCTCCACAAATGAAGGATGCAGCAAGTGCATGAGGAACAGAGAGGAGGCCAGTTGGGATGCATTACAGGCTTCCAGAGGTGGGCAAGGATTGTACAGCGAAGCTAGAAAGATAGTTGGGGCCAGGTTGTAAAAGGCTTCAAAAACTAAACAGAGGAGTTTATATTTTATCCTAGAGTCAGTAGGGAACCATTGGAGTTTATTGAGTAAAGGAGAGGTATGGTCAGATATATGCAGGAAAATCATTCTGGCAGCAGTGTGTAGGATAAACTGGAGAAAGGAGAAACTTGAGGGAGGAAGACCACTTAGGCCGTTGCAGTAATCTAGGCAAGATGTGTGATGAAGGCCTGAACAAAACTACTAGCTGTGTTAAGTAGAAGGGAGGGGTCAGATTTAAGTAAAAAACAGCAATAATTAATTGTTTTTATGTGAGGAAGGGGTCAAGGATATTGATGGTCTATTACTCTGGAAGAATGGTGATGCCTTCAAGTCAACAAGCATTTATTAAATACTTACTCTGTGCCAGCCTCTATGCTAATCACTGGTGATAAAAATGTAAGCAAAAAGAAAGACATCCCTGCTTTCAGAGAGCTTAACATTCTAATGGGGAAAGGTAGCACTTAAAAGGGAGTTGAAAAAGTTGGGGAGGGGGAACGGATTGGGGAAGAGAGAGAGACATCTCTAAGGAGGTCTGGGGTTAAAATCCAGAAAATGAAGGAGACTGATCTGAGCTCTTCCTTGAAATTGATTTTGGGGAGAAATTCACCAGTGGGAGATGAAGTCTCAGGGGAAGAGGGAGAAAGCAACTGAGTATGGTGGTGAAGTCTGGAGAATGAAGGCTGGCTGGTCTAGGCCCTTTTCAAAATGGAGGCTTTAGGAGAGCCTTCAGCTGAAATAAAGAAATTTGGAAGAGGAGTGGGTTTGGGAGAATGGGGAGGAAAGGAGAATTCTGTTTTGAACATGTGGAGTTTGATATATCTCCAGGACATCCAATTTGAAATGTTTAGTAGGTAATTGATGATGCACAACTAAAGCTCAAGGGGAAAACTGGATATAGACAGACAAACAGGTGATAGATAGATACATAAATAGATACATAGATGGATGGATGGATCTGGGAATCATTTGCATAGAGATGATAATTGAACTCATAGAAGTTAATGAGGTCCCTGAGAAAATATAGAGGAGAAGAAAAAAGGGCCCAGGACAGAACTTTGGAGAATACTTACCATTAGAGGACAGGATATGGTTGATGACCCAGCAAAGGAGATGTGGGAGGAGCATTTAAACAGTAGATGGTGAACCAGCAGAGCATAGTGTCACAAAAAAAACCCTAATAACAGTATCAGAGGCAGCTGTTGTTTTTGTCCTTCATTCTCAAAGAGGACCATGACATCAGGAAGGTGATGAGAATTTAGAAAATACCATTAGATTTGGCCATTAAGATTGGTGGTAACTGAAAAGAGCTCTTCCGGTTGAGTGATAAGGTTGAAAGCCAGATTGTGAAGGGTTGAAGAGTGACGGAGAGAAGAGAAAGTGGAGACAAAGGATGTAAACTGTTGCCACCTTGCCCCCCTAGGAGTCTGGCTAAGAAAGAGAAGAGAGTAACAGGATGGTAACTTTAAAGAGATGGCAGGATTTAGTGAAGGTCTTTTAAGAATGAAACAGATGCTTGTTTGCTTGAAGGCAGTGGTTAAGGAAACAGTAGATAGGAAAAGATTGAAGATTAGAGAGAGGGAAATAGTAGATGCTACACCTGGCTGGAGAAGGAACGGGATGGGGTTGAGATCACACATAAAGGTTTTGCCTTGGCAAGAAGGACCACCTCATTATCAGACTGGGGAACAGGATTGGAGAATGAGAGATAATATCAAGGGGCTTTGAGATGAGTAGAAGAAGGAGGTCACGTTGAATGGTTTTAATTTTCTCTGTAAATCAAGAGGCAAGATCGTCAACCAAGAGAAAGGGAAGGATGGAAAGTGTTGGAGTTTTGAGGAAAAAAGAAAGTTTGGAATAGTTTCTGTGGGGGTGAAATAGGGAATCAATTTAAGAGGAAAAAGAGATTTGCCTTGCAATGATGACTCAGTTTCACTTGTATAACATAAATTTGTGATGTACCTGACAGCAATTTGTGACTTCCTCCAGCTTTAGTCAGCAGCACATGAGTTGTAATTGAGGAGTGGGATGGTAGGAGTAATCCAGGGCTGAAGTTTTTTCTTAGTTTGGGTGGGGAGAAGCATTCAAAGATTGATGACCGTAAGGAGATGAATTGAATAGGGTCAAGATTAGAAAGGAAAGAAAGTGAGGTGCCGAGAGGGGTGGAGTGAGTAGTTGTTTCCATGAAGGAGGGTGAAGAATAGATTTAGGAGCAGTGAGGCCTAGTGAGAGAGTCATGTTCAGAGTGAGGTCAGTTGTTTCAATTGAAGAAATAGAACATTTGTGGATAATGGTAAGATCCAGGATCTGACTATCCTTGTGTGAGGAACTGGAAAGTTTGAGAGTTTGAGATGTCATCAGTATGGACACTGAAGTCCCCCTTTTTAAGGGCAGGAGTTGAGGAGGAGAGGAAGACAATGAGTTAGAAGTTTAGAGAATATCTAGTTCAATCCTCTCATTTTACAAAGTAGGAAATAAATAGGTTAAATAAATCAGCTCTGCCATTGTCATCTGGGCAAGACACTTCTCTTTGGGCCTCAGTTTCATCTGTGAAACAATTGGGTTAGATGAGGTGACTCTTTAGGTCCTTTCAGCTGTAAATCTGTAATCCTACAATCATGCGACTTGCCCAGCAGAGCCAGGATACAAACCCAGGGACTTCTCCAAATTTGCTGCCCCATGCGACCGCCATTTAAAATCTACAATAATCTTAAAAATAAATATTTTATTAGAAAAGTGTTCTATCCATCTAGCTTTGCCACTGACTTTGGGGGGTGTTTTTTAAATAAAAGTTTTCTATACATTTCGAGTTGGAAGAAGATTTTAGAGCTCCTCTAATTCAACTCCCTTATTTTTATAGATGAGGAAGTTGAAGCTCAGAGAGGTTTAGTTACTGGTCCAAAGGCAGTGAAGTCCAGAGCTAGGTTTAAATCCAGCTCTTGTGACTCTAAATACAGTGCCCTTTGTACTTGGAAGGTGTTATTTAATTGGAGGATGTGTTTTGTTTTTTGTAGTTATTACTATGTAATAACTATAGTTTTTAGGATTTAATACTAATAGGGAAGGAAAGAATTTGCTTAGTCTATATATTGTTAGTCAATACAATGATGAAGTCGGTAAAGGAAAATTATAAAATGTTCTGGCCTTATATTATACACTATAAGAAAGTAGCAACTGTTCATAATTATGGTTTTATTATTCTTTTCTGAAAGTTCTTTTCTTCAGATATTCACTTCAGTTAAAGCACTTTCACCTTTGAGGATCTTACTGTCTTTCAAAAATAACTTGAGTGTGATTCAAGCCTTCTGATTGTCATTTGAAAACAAATTAAAGTAGGGAACTTAAAGTTTGTCAGATTGTTAATATTGGGTAAACATTTAGGAATTTAAACACATTCTTTGTATGTTTGTGCATCATAAACTAAAAATATCATCATATGTGATTTGTCATTTCAGGAAATGAAAATTACAAGCAAATAGCAATGTGTGTCCTCTACCACATAAGCATGGATGACCGATTCAAATCAATGTTTGCATATACTGATTGTATACCACAGGTAGGTATTTCTTTTTTAAGAAAAATTTGCAAGATGTCTATTTTTCTTACTTTTCTTCCCCTGCACCTTCCTTGCCAATCCTCTTTTCTTCTTTATACTTTTATGTATACTTTATATACTTCTTTTATACTTTGATACTTAAATGAATCATTTCAGTTCGACAAACATTTATTAAACAGTTTTGTATATGCAAAGACACAAATGGATGTGACCCTCTCCTCAAGGAGCCAGATTCAAAATACATAGAAAACAATGCTATCTAACTTCAAGCAGGAGAATATGAACAAATGAGAGGAAAAGCAAAGACCCCCTATTGGTGGTAGTGCCTGAGCTGTCTGGAAGAAAGTTAAGGATGCCAAGTGGTGGAGGTGACAACTAAATGCATTTGACATATGGGAGATTACCCTTGCAGAGGAGGCGAGATATGGGCTGGTGTGTATGTGGAATAGGATGACTGAAAGATTTCTCACCTATTCATGTCAGGCTACCCAGCCAAGTCAGCAAGCATTTATTAAGCACTTAGGATATGCTACCTACTATACTAGGATTGAGGATATGAAGACACAATAAAGCAGCCCTAATCCTCAAGGAGTTAACATTCTTTTGGTGGGTAATGGAACGATATGTCCATATAAGTCAATACAAAGTAATTTGTAGGGCAAGGAGCACAAGCCCTTGTTAACTCTAAAACCAGATTACAACTGCACTAGGAGGGTGCAAGAGAAAGGATGGCAGAGTGGGCAACCAGAGGGATGAAGCTGACAGAAATGGGTACGAGAGAACAGAGGGTGATGCTCAGAAGAGGTAGGAAGGCCAAAGGATTGGGCACACCAGTGGTAGGACTGAGGGCTAGTCCTTGCTGCTCTCTACCCAGTGATAAAGGCAAGTCAGTGGAGTTCTAAGGCTGAGTTGCTTAGAGAGGGCTGGGGAATGTTGAGGTACTCTCACCCATGACCAGATCAGTTTTTTCCAAGATTTATTCCAACTTTGAGTTTTCTCCTCCATCATGGTGGGGAAGGGGCATGGGTCAGGAGTGTGGTCAGCCATTGTGGCACAGGAGGGGCAACAGAGCAGATGTCCAGTCCTTGATCCTGGCTGACTAAATGTTTTCTAAAGCTCTATATCCTGTAATAAGTAGCTGTGGAATTAAGGTTTCCAACTCTGACCTTCTGTGACACTTAATAATGATCTTGGGTCAGTAGTCAGGTCCTAGGTTTTCTTGACAAGCGCTTCAAGAATTGTCAAACAGTCATAAAGACAGTCCATGATCTCATCTCTCCATCAGTAAATCAATCTACATTTATTAAGTACTTAATATGTACAATGCATTCTGCCAAGAGCTAGAGATAAAGACAAAAGTTAAATAGTTCCTACCTTCATGGAACTTAGGTTCTGCAGTGGTACGGTTTTCACTCTGTCATACCTTCTCATCCTGGGGCCCTCTTCTTCATGTTCTACCAAAAATATTCTGGCTATTATTATTGAAGTGAAGCAAAATTTTTATTTTGCATTAAATAGTAGCTTAGTTTGGCTGTGTTCTGAAGGACATGACTTATTTTGGCAAGATTTGATGTCCTACTAAGTAGCAGAGCAAAATAGATTAGAACCCAGTTTTATCTAAACCCAGAACTCTTTCCATTCTCAGTTCATATGTGAATAAAATCCTTCTTAAGTTTCCTACAAATTTCTACCAGGCAATATTCTGTTAGTTTAATTGGAGTTACTACATAGCAAGTCCTTGAAAGAAATAAACTTTTAAAAAATGTTGTCTTTTCACTAATTTGAACAGGTATCCCTCTCATCCAAATTAAGTTTTAATACAGTTATGTTTCCTATCAATGAACTAGAGCTACACCTAGCTTTAGTTTAAAAAAAAAAAAAGGTGAACACAGCTAAAAATTTCACAAGCCATTAGGCCTTTATTCCAAGAGGCAGCCTAATTATAGCTTTTTGTGGAAAATAGATCTCTTTCAAAAGAATATGCAACAAATCTTAACAGACAGGTGTTCTCATCAAAATGCTGTGTGTCAGCTTATGGCCAGTGCTCTGTGTCATCAAGCCCCTTGTCAAAACAAGTTTTCAATAAAAGGGTAGCCCTGTCAGAGGGGGGGGATTCCAGGTGATTTACTGCCCTCCTGCTCCATGTGTCCTGAAGGCCTCTGCTTTGCAGTTTCAAAGGGGGCTTCTTTTCTAATCCTATCCTGTGTCCAGACTTCATGAATTACAGGATATGAGCTGGAAACCAGCCAACCCAGAATAATGCCCTTGTCTAGATTGACGGGTGTTACCCAGCTTAAAGTTATAGGATAGTTAGGGTCAATAAAAGAGAAATGCAAAGTAGATAGGGATAGAAAATTCTCTTTCTGACTTTCTAAATTATAACCCCTTTTTCAGAATTACAGTCCTGACCAAAGATTTAAACATGAAATTTTATTAAAAAGGAAAAGAACATAGAAATATAAACATGTTAAAAACTACTGTGTTAGTGTATCTTTTGAGGTATTGTTAATATTGATCCTGGAGTTCAAAGCCTCGTATGTATAGTGCTTCTATCTTTTTAAGAACTTTAACCAACACTTATGCTTTCTTGACAAATGTTCTAACATCAAACATGACTGTAATGGGAATTTGCCATCGAAAGTTTTCAGAACATTTATGATTTGTTTCTCGATTAAAATTTCCTCAAACTTTTCCAAAAGGCCAAGAATTTTTTTTCTTTTTGACCATTGAGTTTTTATGGGAACAGCAAAGTTATATTACCAAAGTCTATCATAAACATCCTTCTCCTTGGTTTTGCTAATAGGAAGGAGGCAGTTTCTTGAGAAATGTATACAGTAGACTATGTTTCTTACTGCAGTGATGCCCACCTACAACTTTCACTTCAGGGCTCAATTATGGCACACTTAAGGGAAATGTTGACATGGTTTATAACTACCCAGTGCCAAATTTATTGCAATATAAAAGAACCATGGAAATTTCAATTAGATCCGTGATTCCTCTAACTTCACTAATCATTCCCTGAGTTGTAACGAACATTCTATTCAGAGCAGCAGACACTGGCTGTTCAAAGCAGTGTTTACAGTGCTAGTAAAGCTTTAAACTGGTCTGTGACCACAAACAGTTAACTCACTTATTAAAGCCATATCTGATGTTGAAATTTCATAGGGTTTAATAGAATGTTTGTTCTTCGAAATTGTACTCAGCAGTTTTAGGTAAGAAATAAGAGACAATAATAAAACAGGAAATCAGTATGAATATTTTCATAAATAAATAAATTGGGAAAGATAGTTAAGGACATCTAGCTATCTCTTTATTTTAGACTTCATTCATTTTCCAATTTAAAACTTTTTTTTCTCTCTGTTGTTAAATAAATAGGCAGGGGACCTATCTCCCCCTCTGCCATGTACAGTGGTTTGGACATGGTACTCATTTAGTAAATGGCCATTGAATGAATAGATAAATCTTACAAATGTAAGATTCATTGTTATAAAGAACTGAATATCTAGAAGTAGTGATTGTGACCACTGTTGCTCATACACACTGTACTCACAATTATATTACCTTCCCTGTGTCAGATTATTTCTGATGTGCTCTCTTTATCTCTACTTGACCTTTGTGCTGGGCCATTTTAGTCAGGTCATAGATTCTTTCGCTTTTTAATAGTCTTGATGGGTGGATTATCTCAGGTAAGCATCCTTATGGAAGTCAGGAGTTAATGGTTGTATTCTAGTAACAGTTAAAAATAGGTATTAACAGTTCATTGTTATTTAGACCTCTAAAATGTATGTTTTGTTTAAATAGGTGCAAATGCCGTCCAGATGCTTATAAAAAGTATTTATTAGTAATGGAATGGCCAATCAAAGTACATGGTTAGGTAATGATGTCATGGTGTTATTTAATATTTTACCACAGAACAGTATGCAAGGATCTCCATAGCTACCCACATGTTTTCCACCACAGTTGTCCTATTGGGCCCCTCTTTGATCTACATGCTCCTTTTTAGCTGAATGCTGGTAAACGTCCTTTCTGACAGCACCCTTTGCTCCTGCCTGCCATTATCTGCCGAAGTTCAGAAACCAGAGCATCACTTCAAACAGCAGAGTTAGGGAGTAGCCAGTCAGGAGAGATTCCTGAGGCATGCAAAGTTCTGGCATAATCATTCAAAGATGTTTGGGCAGGGGGTTGGAGGGGAGGGGCGGGGGAGATGTGTGCAGAGGTGTGTGTGAATACAGTGAGCGGTGGGGGTTGGCCTCTGGTCACTGGTAAATAAGTGAAGTCAGGTGCCAGAGAGTCTAGACACAGTGATTTCAGTCCTGGGTCTGTGGTATCTGATACTCAATATGGGACTTGTCTGATTGAACACTACTGCCTCTTCATTGCACAAGCTGTAGACCTTTTAGGGCCTTCCTGTTAAATCAGTAAAAGATGACAATGGACATAGTTAAAGCAGAACAAATTTAATTTTAATATTTCCTAGTTGGCAGCAATTACACTCACTTTTGAAGTGCCGTGGGTAGCAATCAAATTAAATAAAAGTATAATGGTACACGTGGAGCTGATATTAAACTATTATTTTTAAATTTGAGTACATTTAATTGGAATTGAAGTGTTTCTTTTTCTTATTATAAAGAACTAATTCTGTATCAGAATGTATTCTATTCATTTTAAGTTTTAATATCTCTTGATTTTGTGAGAGACTTGCTAAGGTTAAAAAATATATAATTTGACTTAGGAAAAAAATTTATAGAAATAATTAGAAACCAAATAAGTTTTAAGAGTTTAATGTGAGAATTGCTGACAGGTAATAACTTCATCACCTAAATTATCATCTCCTTTGACCTCATAAATCAGGGTAGTGTTAATTTTATGGAATCACAGATTAGTTAATTCTTGTTTGTGACATGAATAATTCTTTAAGGCATGTTAGAGATTAACCAGTTGTTTTTTTTTTAATCTTAAAGCAGTAAAGGTTGGAAAGATATCTATAATAGGTTTTAGATTGGAATGTGAAAACCCCAAGTAAAATAAATATGAATTACATTAATTAGAACATTATGACTTAAAACTTTTATTTAGTTTGCAGTTACTTAGGATTGTTACAATATTAGACAGTTGATGTATGTATGGCAAATGAAATCTGCTACAGGACACATCTAGTGAATGTAGATTAAATAATTGATAACAGTATCTTTTTATTTATATAGTTATCTTAGGTTTTAGTTGCTCCTGATGTTATTCTAAAGATTCAAGTATCTGTAACATAGAGGTTAAAAGGATCCCTTTAGGGAAATGGCGTAATAGAGTATCTGTACATGTTTTAAACCATTCACCTGCCTTACTACAATTTAAAAAGCACAGAAGTACTTCTAAGTCATAAATCATAAATATGCCAAATTCACCTGCTTTTAAAATATCATCTTTATTTCATGGATGATTTAGGATCTGCCTCCTTTAAATTCTATGTTATTTCTTCTCTAAAGCCAATTCATAGTTTGTTTAGTCCTCTCTAAGTATAAAATAACTTTCAAAATTGCTTCCGTTTCAGTAGAGGTTTTCATTTTTTACTTAGCAAAGATTTTGTTTTATTTTCTCTTTCTTCTAATTCAGCATCTTGGGACAGGAGATCATAATTAATCAACAAGCATTTATTAAGCCCCTTCTGTATACCAGTCACTATACTCAGTGTAGAGATACAAAGACAAAAGTGACACAGTCTAGATGAGAGATGATAAAGCTTTGAATTAGGCTTGTGATTATATGAGTGGAGACAAGAAAGAAATGATAATTTAATTTTAATGAGTGAGAATGGAGGAGTCAAGGATGACATCAAACTTGTAAGCCTGGGTGACCAGAAGACAACACAAATCATTGTACAACCCACAACAGTAACAGGGAAGTTCAGAAGAGAAGTTGGTTTGGGGGAGAAAGTGAATGAGTTCTTTTTGGACATACTGCATTTAAGATGTCACTGGAACATGAAGTGTAAAATATCTGATAGGCAGTGCATGGTGCAACACCAGAGCTTTGGAGAGAGAGCTTAGGGCTAGATGTATAGCTGTAGGAGTCATCTTCATAGACATGATAATTAACCCAATGGGAGCCAATTTGTATACCCAGAGAGTACAGAGAAAAAAAAGATGAGGGCTTAGAACAGAATTTTGTGGGTCACCCACAGTTAGTGGGTACGATATGGATGATGATCCAGCAAAGGAGACTAAGGGGAAAGGCTTAGGCAGGTAGGAGAACCAGGAGAGAGAAATGGCATAGAATAAATCCTAGAGAGAAGAGAGTATCCAGAAAGACGATTGACATTGTCAAATGCTTCAGAGATGTCAAGGAGAATGGGAACTGGGAAAAGGTCAGCAGATTTGTCAGTTGAGAGATTAGATTGACTTTAGAGAGAACAGTTGCAGTAATATGATGACATTGGAAACCAGATTTCATAGGGTTGAGAAATGAGTGAGATGAGAGGAAGTGGAGACAATGACCCTAGATAGCTTTTTCTAGGAATTTATCTAAGAAAGGGAGGAGAGATATAGGATAATAGCTAGTGGGATTTGGTGAGAGGTTTTTTTTGTTTGTTTTGAGTTGAGAAGACTACAAAGTGTTTATAGGCACCACAGAAGAACTAGTAGACTGGGAGAGATTAAAGATAAGGAAGAGAAGGAGGATGACCGTAGAGGTAGTACTATAGAAAAGGCAAGAAAGAATGGGATCAAGGGTTGTTCTGGGCAAGGGAAAAAAAAGGGCCACTCTTTTTTTTTTTTTGATTGTGTTTTTTTTTTTATTAACTTATTTTGATTTAGCAACAATCACTTCCATATGCTTTAAATTTAAAAAAAAAGTTTAAAATTTTTCTCCCCCCTTCCTCCCCACCACCCTCCCCAAGACAGTGCACAATCTCATATAGGCTATACATTTATATTCTTATTGAACATATTTTCACATTAGTGAAGTTGTAAGTAAAAATTAAAACCAATAGGAGGAACCATTAGAAAGATGAAACAAAACTCAGCAGAAGAGAAAAAAAAATGATAGTGATTCAACTTCCATAGTTCTTTCTTTGGATGTGGATAGCATTTTCCATCACGAGGCCCCTGGAGATGTCTTCAATCCTTGTATTGCTGAGAAGGGTTAAGTTTATCAATATCAGTCATTGCACAACATGGCTGTTACTGTATACAATGTTCCCTTGGTTCTGCTCACTTTACTCAGCATCATACCATACAAGTCTTTCCAGGTTTTTCTGAAGTCAGCCTGTTCAGTATTCTATTACATTCATATACCACAACTTGCTCGGCCATTCCCCAATTGATGGGCATCCTCTCAATTTCCAATTCTTTGCCACCACAAAAAGAGCTACTATGAATATTTTTGTACATATGGGTCATTTTCCCATTTGTATGATCTCTTTGGGATATATCTCTAGAAGTGCTATTGCTGGGTCAAAGGGTATGCACATTTTTATAGCCCTTTGGGCATAGTTCCAAATTGTTCTCCAGAATGGTTGGATCATTTCACAGCTCCACCCACAATGCATTAGTGTTCCAATTTTCCCACATCTTCTCCAACATTTATCATTTTCCTGTTTTGTCATGTTGGCCAGTCTGGTAGGTGTGATGTGGTACCTCAGAGTTGTTTTGATTTGCATTTCTCTAACCAATAATGATTTAGAGCATTTTTTCATATGACTATAGATGGCTTTAATTTCTTCATCTGAGAACTGTCTGTTCATATCCTTTGACCTTTTATCAATTGGGGAATGGCTTGTGTTCTTATAAATTTGTCTTAATTCTCTATATATTTTAGAAATGAGGCCAAAAAGGGCCACTCTTACGAGAATGATGTGAAGGAAGAGAGAGGACAGGGGGGATGTTGTTGAGGCTTTATGAGATGAAGTGAAGGGGAGGAGAATCATAGGATCCTAGATTTAGAACTGGAAGAAATCTTGGAGGCCATTGAGTCTGACTCCCTCATTTTATGAAACTGAGAAGGAAAATCACTTGCCCAGAATCATACAGCTAGTTAGCTAGTAAGTGTCTGAAGTAGGATTTGAACTCTGGTCTTTCTAACCCCAAAGTACATTGTTCTACTATATTACACATCTGGTTCAAATAGAAAGTTTGGAATAGCCACTGTGAAGAGTAGGCCAAAAAATCAATTAAGGAGGAGGAAAAGAATTCCTTGCCACAGTTAGGGCCCCATTGTGATTAGACAGCATAAATTTGTAGTGGACCCAGTCAGCACAGTTGTACAACATTTTCCAGTTTGTTAATCACCACATGAGTAAGAACATTACGTTACATTACTTTTTTTGGCTATTGTGACATACTGTTCAACCGTGTTAATCTTACAGTCCACAAAAATAATTATTTATAAGGGAAAGAGCACTTGGGCCTCATCAGTAAAATCTTTTAACCTTCTGAAAGGCATTAGACTTCAAGAATCTCTATGGTTCTTTCTAGCTGTAAATTTCTAATACAAACTCCCTAGATCATTTTCCTATCTGCTATTGTCTAAATATGCCTTCCCAATCCTATGCTTATGAAGTTGATTTTTAACCTAAATAGAAAAGTTTGTCTCTATTAAATTCCATCTTATTAGATTCAATTTATTAGTCAAGCCAGTTGAGAATTTTTTGGATTCTGAATGTCATTCAGCATCTTCAGTGGCGATAACTAACAAGAGTTAGTGTAGGAGTATTTAGGAAATAATTTTTGATGACAGTCATAAAAATTAAAAGATCTTCCCTATGTTTTTAAAATATCTATTCTAGGGGCAGCTAGGTGACGCAGTGTATAGAGCTCCAGCCTTGGAGTCAGGAGGACCTGAGTTCAAATCCGGCCTCAGACACTTGACACTTATAGCTGTGTGTCCACGGGCAAGTCATTTAACCCTGATTGCCTCACCAAAAAAAAGAATCTATTCTACCTAAAGCTATTATGACCTTTAAAAGAAACGTTCAAATATATCATACTTACTGGTAGCAATTATCCTTTGCTCATCCCTTTCATGAAGCCTTTGTAAAATTGCTCCACAACCCATTTTTCACTCTTTTCTGAACATCTTTTGTTCTTGCAGTCTATACCATAACACATACATGTGTAAAGATAGATGTGTGTGTATCTGTAGTACATATGTGTATAATTTAGTTGTGTTGTACATCATCTCCTTGCATCATAGTTATTTCTTCTGCATCAGGCTTTGTCTCTTTAGTCATAATGTAAGCCAGTCATACAAAAATATGTTCAAACTTACTCTATATTTCCCATAGCACCTGGTGTAGTCCTGGGCCCATTGCTGCAAGAGTTCAGTACATACTTATTCAATCAGTCACTCGGTAAACATTTATAAAGCGCTTACTATGTGCCAGACACAGTGCTAAGTTCTGGGAATATAAATAGGAGCAAAAAAAAAAGACAGTCCATACCCTCAAGGACATTTCTAATGGGAGAAGACAATGCACAAAATTGGGTTTGGGGTGAGGGTGGGAAATCAGTGTACTTAGGTCGGGGGCATGGTGAAGAAAGTCCAGAGTGCAGCCTGGAGAGGAATGAGACATGGCTTCCCTGAGTACCTGACTTAAATGTTTAGTCAGTCATCAGATATTCTGACCGTTCATATGTATTAACCTATTAGTTCCCAAAAGAAGACAGTAATGCCATTGGCCAGTGTCATGCATTGGATTAACTTTTCATTATGTGTTTATTTCTTGATTATGAAGTTTTTGTTGTTGCCACAGAGTGTATAATATAAAATACAGTGTGCATAGTTTGTTGTCATTCTTTTGTTTTTTGAGTTTTCAAATGTTCTGGTGATATAACTGGTGGTGTGCATGTGTGTGTGTGTTTATTGCTAGCTAATGAAGATGCTCTTTGAGTGCTCTGATGAACGAATTGACCTAGAGCTTATCTCCTTCTGCATCAACCTTGCTGCCAACAAGAGGAATGTACAGCTAATTTGTGAAGGTCAGTGATCTTGAGTTTCTTACTGCTTATCTTTGAACACAGGATACAATTAGGCAATTAGCAAAACATTAAGGTATAGGTTATATGATGGACAGACACCACTGCAGGTCGTTCAGGAGCCATCTTCTTTGGCTTTAGTCTCTGCAGGTATTAGACACTACTAATATGAAGTCCTAAAATGCTCTTGTATTATAGATGGAAATATAGTATGTTCTTGTTCTTGAGTGGTAACATTGAACATTAAGTGGAATTTTATAGTCTCCCTTGGGTTGTCCAAAATTCATACTGGTTAACTTACACATTTTCTGGAAAGAAACTTTTTTTCATGTTTGCTTCTCTTTTAATCACTTATTTGTTAGTAAACTGGTATTGAGGTTTTTTTTCTTCATTTTCTTGAACTAAAGTTAAACTTGAATTGTATTTGGTATACTTAGTATTTTTTTGTCTATAGGAAATGGACTGAAGATGCTTATGAAGAGGGCTCTAAAATTCAAGGATCCACTGTTGATGAAGATGATTAGGAACATTTCTCAGCATGATGGACCAACTAAAAATTTGTTTATTGTAAGCACATATGCTTTATTATGGGCTAACTTGTGTCAAGTTCTGTCCTATATAGATAGAACACTTTTTATTCTATTTAGTGTGTTGGAGAGGTCGCACCAAGTTGTGGATAGATTTTTACACTTGATGTCAGAAAGAACTGGGTTCCTATCTTGCCTCAGACGCTGATTGGTTGTGTGACCCTGGACAAGTCCCTCTACGTCTCTGAGCCTGTTTCCTTATCAGTAAAATGAGAGTTGTAATAGCACCTACCTTACAGAGTTTTTATTAGGATCAAATGAGATTATGTATTTAAAGTGCTTTTAGACCTTAAGATTCTATATGAATGCAAGATATTATTATAATACATCATCATCTTTGATCTCATTGTTGTAGATATTCCTTCCAACACTCATACTGTATAACTTTGGTCCAAACTCTGCCATAAGTATACCTTAGTAAGTCCATCCAACTTTCCTGGGGCATTCTTTGCATTCACTTGACATTGCATGGATACTAGTGGAATTAATGATAAGAACATTAGTTATCCTTTACTAGTCTATCTTTTTTCCTTATCATTTATTTCTCTGGGATAATCTTTTATACCACTTCTCCTGTGTAATTGCTCATTTGTTAGGAGTTGCTGCCTACAATAATTCTCATTACATGACGAATACAGAGAATCATAAAAACACTTCTTTGAACTGAAGCAAAATGAAGTAAACAGGGCCAGGAAAACAATATACACAATGACTACAGCAATATAAATAGAAAGAACAGCCACCAAAAATAATCTAAACTGAGTATTGTGAAATTAGATAGAACAGACTTGTCCCCAGAGAAGAGACATGAGAACACGCTTCCCCAAACTCCTTCGTGGAGAGAGGAAGTACAGTCCACAGATGTAGAATACTGCATATGATAGAATAGCAGATTTTTTTTATTGTGTTGATTGGATTTACTGAATTTTTTCCCCTTCCTCTTTAAAAAAAAAACCATTGTTGTAAGGGATGGTTTTCTGGAGAGATCCAGGGAAGAAATGTAGCAATGTAAAAACAAAGGATATTAATAAAATAATCTTTTTTTAAAATGAATGTAAACTTCTTGAGGGGCAGGAACTATTTTTTTCTTTTGTGTTTGTATCTTCAGTACCCAGCATAGTGCTTGACATAGTAAATGCTTAATAAATTCATTTTCATAATTAAAAAGAATATATAGACGTAAAGACGAGAGTGGCAAAGCAGTAAGTTCAGGAGTTTCCATCTTATCAGAACAAGGAGAAGGAAAGGAGAATACACACACGTACATACACACACACACACACACACACACATATTTATATACTGTGCCCTATTTCTCCCTCACATTGATATATGTACAGAGTTGAGTGCATTAATATCAATAGAGCAACAGGTGGAGATAGAGGGTAGAAGTAGAGAAGAAATAGTCACAAACAAAATAAAACTTACCCAAGGAAGTTGAATTATAAAGGGGGAATTAAAAGGAGAGAAATAAAGGGAAAGATACAACAACTAAGGCCTGGGGCAGAAAGGGAAAAATTGAAAATCAGACCATTAGATTATTAGTGATAATACTACCCCCTTTTGCCATCTTTTTTTCCTTTGTAAAAGGAGTGGGTTAGCTGGCCAAGAGAAGAAATATTGTAATAGGATCTGATGGAAGGAAAAACATACTTACTAGTAGGTGGTCATATTCTAAGTGTGACTGGGATTAATCACCTATCATTCCTTCCCCCTCATAAAAGTATTTATTTTGTTTATGACTACTTTAGCTCCTCTTCTTAACTCTTCCATGTGGAAATTATATCGTCTAAGCACACTGATAACACTCTGCACAGGCTTAAAAGGACTAAGCATATTGGCCCCAGATATAAAGATATTAACACAGAGTTAAGATGAGGAGATGAGTTTCAGGTGAAGCCAAAACAGTGATAGTCATAATCTCAGACAAGGCAACAGTTTTTTTTAAAGTGTTTTTTAAAAATTACTTCTCTTTTAAGATAAACAAGTAGAATATTAATGTGCCATAAGATATGAGAAAATGGATAATTTACTGAGAATATCTATAAACCAATGCAGAATGAAGTGAGCAGAACTAAGAAAACAATTATACAATGATAACATTATAAAGAAAAACCATTTTGAAAGACTTTGGAACACTTATCAATGCCATGATAAACCATGATTTCAAAGGACCAAAAATAAATCACACTACTCACCTCCTATTAGAAAGGTGGTGGATTTAAGATCAGTGTGAGATATACATTTGAGAAAATAGCCGATGTGAAAATTTGTTTTGCTGGACAATGCAAATTGTTATGAGGGTTTTCTTTTCCTTCTTTTGTTAATTTTTCAGCAGGCCCAGGGAATGGAAAGGAGAGAAAAGAAATGTTTGTAAATTTTTTTAAGGAGGCATGTTACATAGAGCAAAATATATCAATAAAATATCTTTAAAATAAAAAGAGATAAGCAGAAAAACTGCAGTATCCTTAATAGTACCATAAATAATGAACTGTTAACTCATATATATAATATATGTGTGTGTGTGTGTGTGTACATATGTTTATACACATATACATATATATGCACCAAATAACATACCATCTAAATATCTTAAGGAAAAACTAATTGAACAACAGGGAGGAATAGATAACAAAACAATAACTGAGTCCTTAATGTGCCCTTTCAGACTTAGATCAAGCAAAAAACAATAAATAAATGAAACATTAAGTGTTAACAGGCAAAACACTGTGCTAAGTGCCGGGATTTCAAGTAGAAAAATAAGTGAGTTCCTGCTCTCAAAGAGCTTGCATTCTAATAAAAGAGGCAACACATATGGAAGGTTTTAGCTGCAAATCAGATGGAAAACTCTCATGGTCCTTAGGGTACAAAGGCAAAGCAGATGGTACTCTCCCTTTTAAAAAAATCGTTTCCCCTGATAAAATCATATCTCTGATGATGAACCATTTGACACTTACCTGGAAGCACTGATGTTCCAAAGTCTCTTGAGTTCAAGGTCTTGGGCTGTCAGTATCAGGGTCTGTGGAGACAGTGGCCCATGTGAAAATGACTCACTGGGTTTGACTCACCAAGCAAATGCTGCCTCTGGTCTCTTACTCGGGGTGCCTTGCTGCTTTAGCTAACTTAGCCTGCCTTCTCTGTGGGTGGCAGTTGTTTGGCAGTTGGTGGGGATGGCTGGCTTGTTCACAAGAGCTGCTTATGTGAGGGTTCAGTCAAAAGAAGGATGGGTGGTCTTTGGGACATTGCTACCCCCAAGGACTACTTCACTTATCTGCCTGTTGATTGCAGCTGGCCAGTTGGTAGTGGTGGTGAAGAAAGTTGGCCTCTTCTCCACACTGATTTCTTCCCTCAATAATGCTGGAGGGTCTCCTAAAGAAAACAGGTCCAATAGCCTGAGGGACTTTGCTATTCCCAAGGCTCTTCGATTCAGGGTCCTCAGTTTTCTCTATCAGGATCTTTTTAAGAGATGGTGGTCCTGGTTGCAGTGTTGGTTTGACATGCCTAGGACATGCTTCCTCAACAAGAACAATGAAAGAACTGAATAAAATTTTTGAATAAGTTAGATATAGTAGAAGTCTAGTGACTATTGAATGAGAATTGAAAGGAATATACATATTTTTAGCTTTATATGGTACCTTTAAAAACCAACCTTGTACAGTAGGGTAGAAAAAAATAAGCAAATGTAGAAAAGCAGAGACATTAAACATATTTTTTATTAACTTAAACGTAATTAAAGTTATAACAGTAATTTAAAGGAAAGATTCAGATTTAAATGGAGACTAAATAATAAAATACTACAGAATGTATAGGTTAAAAAGCAAATAATAGAAATGGTAGATAATTTTATCTTTAAAAATACAATAATGAAACAACATACCAAAACTTGTTATAGTTCATAGATGAAATTATATTTCGCTAAACATGTTCATCAACAAAAGATAGAAGAAATTAATAAACTGGGAATGTAATAAAAAAAAACTAGAAAAGCAGCAAATCACAAAATACCCAATAAACAAAAAAATTGCTATATACAATAATGAACTCTAAAGTGATATATAATTTAACTATAAAAGGTAATACAATGAAAGAAACTAAAGACAAAGGAAGAGTTTTCACAAGGGGAGAATTCTTATATAAATAAGTAGAGATTATCGTAAAAGATGAAATGGACAGTTAGATGTAGAAAGTATAGCAGGCTTGCACTAGAGCCAGCTCAGACTGGCTCAGTTGTTAAATTTGTAGTATGAGCTTTTTCATCTTGGAAATCAGTAAATACTATTATGACTTGACTTATTGTTTTATTAATTTCTGGACTTAAGAAGGTGATGAAAAAAGTTAATAATGCAGAGTATACTTAAAAGTGCATGTATATGCATATATAGTATAGATGTACATATGTACATGCAGAGAGAGAGAGATTCGGTTGTTAAACATTCATTAGCATAGTCTGAGAGTATAAGTTATCAATGACCATATAGAAAAATAGTCCAAATCAATAATAAGAAAAATGCCCATTAGAACAATTCTGATATTCTTCTAATCCATCAGGTAGACAAAGATGATGAAAAGAAGTAGTTAGCAATTGCTGGGGTGTTATGGGAGGACAGGCACACTAAATGCATTGTTGATGGGGCTGCAAACTGGTTTGACCATTCTGGGAAATAATTTGCAACTATACCCCCAAATCATTAAACTTTACATGCCCTTTTACCCAGTGATACTGTTAGGCATACACCTCAAGCATAGGAAGGGCAAAGGGAAAGGACCTACCTAAAAAAAATGTAGTGTTTTTTTGTTGTTGCAAAGAACTGGAAGCAAAATAGATATTATTTTGAACAAACTGACATATAGCAATGTAATGAAATTTTGTAGATTCATATAAATATGGAGAGTCTTGTGTAAACTGATGAAAAGTGAAATGAGCAGAACCATAAAAACTGTTTATGTGAAGGCCACAAATAATCACTTAAGAGGAAGTAACTTTGAAAGACCATAGAACCCTAACCAAAGCTACAACCAATCATGACTTCAAAATACCAATGGTAAAACAGACCTCCCACCTTTTAGCAGAAAGGTGATGGACTGGAGGTGTAGAATGGGTATGCATTCCCAGACATGGCTATGAGTTGATTTTATTTTTTTAGCTCTACATATTTATTACAATGAAGGCCTTCAATTCCAGGGGCAGAGAGGGTAGAGAGAGCAGCTAGATGGCACAATACATAGGGTACCTGGCCTGTAGTCAGGAAGACCCATCTTTCTGCAGTCAAATCTGGCCTCAGACACTTACTAGCTATGTGACCCTAAGCAAGTCACTGAATTAACTTTGTTTGCCTCAGTTTCCTCATCTGAAAAATGAGCTGGAAAAGGAAATAGCAAACCACTCCAGTATATTTGCCAAAAAAACCCTGAATAAAGTTGTGAAGAATCAGACAGGACTGAAAAGCAACTGATAGACTTGGGTGGGGAGAAGGGAAAAAGAAGTACAGAAGGGGTTACAAATGAAGTGATTTTGTTTTTGTGTGACATATATGTATGCATACATACTCTGTATATTTCTTTTTAAAAAAAACCCATAAGCTGTGTAACAGAAGTTTACAGTTTTTTTTATACAATCTTCTTTCCTGTTCTTTTTTGTATCTTGGAGTATCTGTATTTGTTAATGAGTAAATTCATGATAAAAAAAAATCTCTTTTTAAAAATATATACATAAAAATATGCATGTATATATTTATAGTCTTTGTGTTCAAGGTATTTAAAATCTAATAGTTTAATAATACAGAACCACTCATATGCAAGCATAAATGCCAAGTCATTTCTTCTTAGTCAAATCTTATATTTTATTGGGTTATGAAAATGTGCTTGTGCTGAAAAGTAAAATTCTGGAGTAATATTAGAAATACTAAGAGAGGGGCAGCTAGCTGGCGCAGTGGATAGAGCACTGGCCTTGAAGTCAGGAGGACTTCAACACTTGACACTAGCAGTGCGACCCTGAGCAAGTCACTTAACCCCAATTGCCTTACAAAAAAAAAGAAAGAAGGAAAGAAAGAAAGAAAGAAAGAAAGAAAGAAAGAAAGAAAGAAAGAAAAAAGAAATACTAACAGAATAAGGACTCGAGTGGATTTGTTTACAATATGCTTCACTTAACATGCCACTTTAAATTTTTGCAAATGAGACATTTTATATTAAATAATATTATTAGTCCACAGTAGACCAGAGAAGAATAACACCTTTGTGCTTTTATTTAACTTTTATGTACCCATTTCTGTGTTTTATTTAGGATTATGTTGGGGATCTTGCAGCTCAGATCTCTAATGATGAAGAAGAGGAATTTGTGATAGAATGTTTGGGGACCCTAGCAAATCTTACCATCCCTGACTTGGATTGGGAGCTGGTTCTCAAAGAGTACAAGTTGGCTCCATATCTCAAGGATAAACTTAAACCAGGTCTGTCCCAGGTGTTTGATTTTACATTGTCACTCATTCTCTTTAGTTAGATGTGACGGTCTTAACTAAACAGTTTATTACAGTGCTATTATATCACTTTAGGCCATTGCTTTGCAAGCCAAGCTTTTCTTCCTCCCCCCCATAAAAGAGATGAGCCTTCTCTTGCATATTTTATTGTTTTTTATTAGTGTTTTCTTACCTTCCACTTTTCTTAATCTCATCCTTCCCCAACTCCTGACTCTTCCACTTTCCAAGCAGGTCTCCAAGAGCAAGGTTCATTTTCCCCTTCTCTTTTCAGTTGAACCACAGCAAAATTAGGAGTTTGCAAGTGTGTGCAAGAATTTAAGAGGTAGAAAATATGATACTGTCTTATAGTCTTTAATGTTTTTTCTTAAAGGCAGGTTGATGCTATAGTAGGATTTCATGAAAAGTTGTTTCTTTTTTTGATTTTTTTTTTTAATGAGCAATTTCCACTCTTTGACTTCACTAGGTGCTGCCGAAGATGATCTTGTTTTAGAAGTGGTTATAATGATTGGAACTGTGTCTATGGATGATTCTTGTGCTGCACTGCTAGCCAAATCAGGGATCATTCCAGCACTTATTGAATTGCTGAATGGTAGGTCATGATCCATTTTATTTTGTTTCCATGCTCGCTAGTTTATAGGTTAAATAATTAGTTAAGACATTAATTTGTTGAAAATTGCTTATGTACAAGTTACATTCATTAAACTAAATTTTACCTTGTCGTTCTGGTAATTATAGAGCAAGATAGAAATCTCTGGAACTCTACAATTAAGGAAAATAAATAGAAGTGTAAATGCCTCTTGTAGTAACTGGACAAAGCTGTATCAAAGGCTAAAGATACCTATCCTTTTTTCCCATTGCACCAGTCTAAGAGAATTAAGTGACTCTTTTCTTTGCCAAGGCTTATCTTGTACTCTTGCATTCCATCACTTCCAAGATTTTTTCCATTGATCATCTCCTCTATCATATTTCCCTGCTTACTAACTTTTCCACTGCCAGCAAACATTCTCAAACAGCTCCAGTGCTAGATAGATAGACAGAGAGATGAATTTCTAAATAGTCCCTTTCTCCCTCTTCCCACCTTGTCATTCCCTCAACAGTATATTCTTTTTTCTCCTCAGAGTGTTATATACTTGCTCCTTTCACTCCTCACAACTCACAACTCAGACCTCAACGCCCTTTTGGCCTAATTTCTGAACCAGTGTTAAGAATCGGTTCTTAACTCAGTGCAGCTTCACTGATGACCAGTTAATTGTCACTCCAGTGATATTTACCCAGTCCTCCTCCCCCTTCACCTGCCTGCAGCATTTGCACTGCTGACCACTTCTTCATTCTAAATATTCTTTTCTCCCCTTAGTTTCCTGGATATTATTTTCTGTAGTTTTTTTTCCTAGTTTCTCATCTGCACCTCTTTAATGTCTTTCATTGGTTCATCATATTTCTCCTGCCCTTTAAGTGTGGGTATTCCCTAAGACTCTTCCTTTATACCTCTTCTTTCTATATAATCTTTCCCATTTCTCTCATTTACTCCCATTCTGCTATCTAAAATTATCATCTCTGCAAATGATTTCCAAATCTATATATCCAATGCCAGTGTCTTCTTATTCTGGTCTGTATCTCCAGCTTCTGGGGGATGCCATACCAGCACTGCCAAACTTTACATGTTCAAAGTTGAACTTATCTTTCCCCACTAAAACCTTTTACTGCTTCCTATTATTCTGCTCTGTTCTTCCTCATTTCTTTATTTCTGTTGATGGCACCATCATTTACCCAGTTAACCAAAATTGAAACCTAAGTCATTTATTCTTCCTTTCCCTTTCCCTTTCCTTCCACATCCATTTAGGTCCCAAGTCCTACTAATTATACTTCTCTATTATCTCTTGAATCTATCCCTTCTTCTTTACTCAGATGCTACCACGTGAATTCAGGCTGTTATCATCTTGTGTCTTCTTACTAGTCTTTCTAATTCCAGTCTCTTCCCTCTCCAGTATATCCTTCCATTCTTTTTTTGTTTGTTTCTTTTTGCTAGGCAGTGGGGTTAAGTGACTTGCCCAGGGTCACACAGCTAGTGTTATGTGTCTGAGGTTACATTTGAACTCAGGTCCTCCTGACTCCAGGGCCAGTGCTCTATCCACTGTGCCCCCTAGCTGCCCCTCCAGTCTATCCTTTAAAGCTTCATGGCTCCCACTTGCTTATAAGATATAATGTGAATTTCTAAATGGCATTTGAGGCCTCTTACATTCTTGCTCTAATCTACCTGCCAGCCTTATTTCACATTTCTACCCTTTGTGCAGTCTGAGGTGAGGAGGGCCACTGAAACTTCTCTAGCCTTCTCCACATTCCTCCCCATCCCCACATCAGCACATTTGCACAGATGAGTTTATCAGATTAACCAATAACCCAACCTGAAGTTACAGAAAGCCTGTTCCTGAAGGATTGAGAGAAGAGATAGATTAGGTCACAAATTAGGTATGGAGAGAAAGGGAATTTAATAACTCTGGCTGCTCAGGTAGCAACATTAAGATAATGGGCAAGGGAAGATTGGACCTTGAGGGCAAGGTACTTGAAGTGAGGAGAGAGATGGCAGACACAAGGAGATTTCACTTCCTAATTTTGTATAGACTTTGCATCAGGGTCAAATTTTCTCTGACCAACATAACATGAAAATACACTTATCCTAGAGTCTACACAATCCAGCATGACCAAGGCATCAATCTAATTTCATTAACTTAGTCTCTTTCTCTCTGTGTGTATGTATAAGAATGAAAACAATGAGTTTTAGCTTTTCAATCAGCAAATATTTATTAAGCTTATGTGCTACACACTGGACTAAGAGCTAGACACACAAAGAACTAGTGAAAAGTCTCTCAAGGAGCTTACATTCGAATACGGGAGACAAGATACACATATGTACATACATATAAAATACACACAAAGTAGACATAAGGTGACCTTACAGAGGAAGGCAGATGGAGAAAGGCCTTCTGCAAAAAGTAGTGTTTTAGCGAAGTCTTTTTTTTTTTTTTGGTTTTTGTTGTTTCAGGCAGTGGGGTTAAGTGACTTGCCCAGGGTCACACAGCTAGTAAGTGTTATGTGTCTGAGGCCGCATTTGAACTCAGGTCCTCCTGCATCCAAGGCCGGTGCTCTATGCATTGCACCACCTAGCTGCCCCATTTTAGCCAAGTCTTGAAAGAAGCCAGGGGTAAGAGGCAGAGGTAAGGATGGGGGCGGGGGTGGCATTCAAAACATTAAGAAGGGCAAATAAAAGGCACTGACATTGGAGACAAAGTACAATGTGTAATGACTGCACTGAAGAGTGTGTAAAAGAGAGTAATATGTAAGAAGACTGGAAAGATGAAAAGTTTACAGTTGATCCCAGAGGTAACAGGGAACCACTGTGATTTACTGGTGAACAGCAAAGTCTGTATCCATTCCATCTAACAAATAGGAGCGAATCTGAAAGTCCATTTGGGTTTTCATATTACTATAAACACACAGAATAAGGATGTGTTCTCTGCTATTTTTATAACCTTTGTAACGCTAGCAGAGCACCAGTCACATCAGATACTTAGTACCTGATGTGCCACAAAAGAAATGGCTCAAATTAAGTTACAATACTCTGAAATGCCTCAGTATGGCAATAGAAAGCAAACTATTAATCCTAACACCACAGTTGAAAACTGGGAGAAGGGGAAAAATAATGAGGAAATGATCACAGTCTTCTACAACTAGTGAGAGAGAAGGACACCCCTGGATGAAAAGCCAGGGCCCTCTGTCATATACACACCAAGCTGCCCTCAGAACATCTGGCAAAAGAACTTTCGTGGCTCAGGGTACAATTGTTTCTATAAGGAAGAATCAGAAATTTCCAGGACCCTCTTCAAACTGAGAGACTGGAGCTGGCTTAGAACTGGCAAACCTGTGCTAAACTGTACTTCTGAAGCCATAACCTGTCAAAAAATAAATTTAAACCTAAAAATCCATGTTGATCCTAATATCATGATAATTTACTCTCCTATGTTTTCTTCCATCAGATCTCATTTTCTTCTTTAGGTAAGGATTCAGTTACATAATTTTCATTCTTCACGATGATCACTCATGAAAAGAAAAGCATTTTCTTTATGTATTTTTATATTAACTAGGTAAAAGACTGGGCAAGAAGGAAAAGAAATCAATTCAACAATTAAGTCTGTACTGTGGAAGTTATGCATTAGGTACTGAAGGGATGAAGGATAAAAATGACAATTGTTGCTCTCACAAAGATCCTGCAATATATGCTAGGATACATATTACTTGTTTATCTAAATTATAATATAATAGCAAAGTACACACAAAGTACTAAAGGAAAATCTGAGCAGCAAGGGGGAATGTCCAGCTACAGAGAAGAGCACAAGTTTCATGGCAGAGGTAGGCTAAGAACTGGTCCTCAAAGAAAAAGAAAGATTTCAACAGGCAGTAATAAAAAGACAGCATATTCTAAGCACAGGAAATGGTCTGAGAACGTGCACAGAACAAGAAAAACTAGGTCAATGACTATATAGTGAATCTGGTTGGAATGTAGACTGCACAAAGGGTAGAAATGTGAAATAAGACTGGCAAGTAGATTAGAGCAAGAATGTAGGAGGCCTCAAATGCCATTTAGAAATTCACATTATATCTTATAAGCAAGTGGGAGCCATGAAGCTTTAAAGGATAGACTGGAGGGGCAGCTAGGGGGCACAGTGGATAGAGCACTGGCCCTGGAGTCAGGAGGACCTGAGTTCAAATGTAACCTCAGACACATAACACTAGCTGTGTGACCCTGGGCAAGTCACTTAACCCCACTGCCTAGCAAAAAGAAACAAACAAAAAAAGAATGGAAGGATATACTGGAGAGGGAAGAGACTGGAATTAGAAAGACTAGTAAGAAGACACAAGATGATAACAGCCTGAATTCACGTGGTAGCATCTGAGTAAAGAAGAAGGGATAGATTCAAGAGATAATAGAGAAGTATAATTAGTAGGACTTGGGACCTAAATGGATGTGGAAGGAAAGGGAAAGGGAAAGGAAGAATAAATGACTTAGGTTTCAATTTTGGTTAACTGGGTAAATGATGGTGCCATCAACAGAAATAAAGAAATGAGGAAGAACAGGTTGGGTTATTGGTTAATCTGATAAACTCATCTGTGCAAATGTGCTGATGTGGGGGTGGGGAGGAATGTGGAGAAGGCTAGAGAAGTTCCAGTGGCCCTCCTCACCTCAGAAAATATGTTTTTTCTAACAGTGCCTTTCTAGCAACAGTACTCCAGCGCCCCACCATGCCCCACCTCTAATGTCTTACCTAAGGCAATGAGTGACTCATGGTGATAATTTCATACCATATAGTTTTAAAAGTTTGGTGTTTGATTATACTTTGGGTCAGGAGAGGAGAGTGTTAGCACGCCAGGACTTCCCCTTAACTGAAGTTGTTAGGAGAAACCCAGCCCTCATAAGTAAACGAGTCTCATCACAGGCACCTCAAAACAAGGTTTCTATAAATAATCTGTTTTTCTTAGCACTTGCACAATAAATTATTCTTTTCATAAAATGAAAAGTGTCTGATTAATTTATGGGACTTGACAAAGATCTTCTATAACAAGCTTTATGTCGTTAAGTTTAAATAAGCTAAAATAAGATATCCTAATGTACCAAACTAGTAAATACTCTTATGCAATTTGAAATAGCTTCTATTTTTACAATGTGGAATCTTTGTAATCTCATTTTTTCCTAATAACTTACTTGTTAATTTTTTAAAAAGACATATGCTTTTATGCATATAAATAATATAATACAGAAGCATCATCATAGAAAAATAAGAATCAGATTTTTTTCCAGAAAGAGAATGATCTGAATAATTCATGTGATGGAGAGGGAAAACATATGTGGTATTTTTGAATGTGTTGTCATTGTTTTAAAAATAAGGATTTGATGCACTAATTGGTACAAATTGTGGGGTGACAATTGACTTCAATATAAGGAAAAACTTTACAACAATTAGAACTGCCATGTAAGGTACCGAGTTCCCCATCACTAGAGGTATTATTGGCACAGAGAGCTGTCAAGAGACTTGTCACGATTGCTTCAGAGGGAATTTCTCAGGTGACAGCCCAAGAGAGATAGTGAAAATCCAAGAGAAGTAATATTAATATTCTCTAAATTCCACTACATTGTTTAATTCCTTGTAGGCATAACTCACTCAAATCTTATATAATTTTATCTTTTCAAATAAATTGTCCTGTTGAATATATTTTTAGTATCAGCATAACGTATTTTCTTTCCTCAAACTTCTTGACCTTGAGACTTCAAAAGAAATTTTTATTAACTACAACCAAATTTTACAAAAGATCAAACTATGACAATTCACATTCCTATGTTATCACAATCATGCAAGTGGAATAAATACCTGATAAAAGTAAATAAAATGTTGCAAAATAACTAAATGCTATTAAACCAACTGATTATTTTCCCCCTCCTTTTCTTGTGTAGTCTGTCATTCTCAAACCTTCCCCTAAACTGCTGCTGTTCAGGGACTTAAGCATAGAGCTCTCTGACTTTTTAACTTTTTTCAGCTCAACAAGAAGATGATGAGTTTGTGTGTCAGATAATCTATGTCTTCTACCAGATGGTTTTCCACCAAGCTACTAGAGATGTCATCATCAAGGAAACACGTATCCTTTTCCTGTTTAAATATTTTGAAGGCATTCCATTTTTTCCTAATAAATATAGGTGTGCATTTTCTTTTTTACAAATATACAACTATAGGGGCAGCCAGGTTGCACAGTGGATAGAGCTCCAGCCTTGGAGTCAGGAGGACCTGAGTTCAAATGTGACCTCAGACACTTAATACCTACTGGCTGTGTGACCCTGGGCAATTGCCTCAGCAAAAACAAAAACAAAAAAAAAACAAATATACAATTAGTAATGTAGAATTTAGATTCAGCAAACATTTATTAAGTAGCTACAACATTCAAGGCAATGTGCTAAGAGCTTGAGATAAAAACAAAAATGAAAAAGAGCCTCTATTCTCAAAAAGCTTACGTTCTATTGTCGTCAAAGTTTGACTTAAAGTTAAAAGACATTTCTAACTCCATATTGAGTACTATTATTATTGCTCCTTTAGTAATAGAAAAGCAGCAAGGTGTAGGGCAAAGCACACAGAAACTTTAGTGAATGTAATAGAATATCATCTAAATAAATGTGACACCTTTTAATGTGGGAGCCTTGGGAGGCTATATATTTCGTCCATGTTGCCATGATGCAAAGTGCATTTGAAACTTTACTTTTTGAATTGTCTCTGGAACACTCTAGATTACACATCCTGGTGGATGTTGTCAGTTGTCTCTAAGTCATCAGTCCTTGGTGGTGAGTTTGATTTTTGGAAATAGCCAAAAGTAGTTCACTCTAGTAATAGAAATAGTGATCAAACCAGTTACTAAGTAATAACACTAATTTTCTTATAAGATAGTTCTGAAGACATTTCCAAAAATATTATGAGCTTGTAAGCCAGTGTTCTTTTGAGTGCTGATAGGGCTGTATATTAGTAACTCAACAAAAAATTCACAGAAATAAACTGATCAAGGATGGAACACACTTATGCTGCGTTTATGTGTACAACTGGCTACTGTTCTGACTGACACGATTGATCAAAATGATTGAGGTACTTAAATATGAAACTGTTACTCTAGTTTTGAAGAAGTCATATTCATAAATGTTCATGTTAGTAAGCACTTGGGGCTTTCTTGTTTTCAAAAGATAGAGAGCTGATTACAAAATCAGGAAGCCGTGGGTTCAGTCCCTGTTCTGAAATATACTGCCTGTTGGACCTAGGGCAAGTACATAATGTCTCAGTGCCCTAGGCATCTCTAAGACTCTAAGTTAATCAACAGATATCATATGCCACACAGTGTGCTAAACACTATGGTTTTTTTTTTAAAAAAGCGAAGACACTGCCTGTCCTCAAGTGTACTTTGCGATAGAGGAGACAGTGTGTGTGTGTGGTGGGGGGATGGGTGGGGATTGTGCATCTGTACATAAGAATACACATATATTAAAATATATAAGGTACATATAGAGTAGATAAAAGGTAACCTTAGAGAAAAAAGTATTCATATCTAGGAAGGGACCGTGAAAGACCTCTTATAAAAGGTGGCATTTAGGTTGAATTTTGAAAGAATCCAGGAATTCTGAGAGCCAAAGTGGAAGAGGGAGTATACTGCAGGCATTCTGTACAGCTAGTCCAGATGCACAGAGGCAAGAGGTGTGTAATCATGTGTGAAGAATAGTAAGGAGATCAGTACCACTGCATATGGAGTAAGTAGAGGCAAGCATTTTGAGAGAAGCCTGCAAGTGGAAAAGGGACCAAGTTGTGAAGAGCTTTAAAATGCCAAGCAGAGGAGTTCATGTTGGCTCCTGTGTTTTAGGACCATCCTTTGGAAGCCACGCAGAGGATGGATTGAATTAGGAAGAAATGAGTCAGGGTGACAAATTTTAAGAGTCCAAATAATAGAAGATGAAAGCTTGAACGAAGGTGGTGTAGTATTTGAGTGGAGAAGGGGAGATGTATGCAAAAGATGTTGCTTCATAGATATCACAAATGCTTGTTGATTGATAATGAGGTAGCATGGCATAGCAGGTTGGGTATGGGACTTGGAGTCAGAAGTCCTTACTCAGATATATATTACTAGATGTGTGGCCCTGGGCAAGTTACTTAATCTTTCTGGGCCTCATTTTCATCAGTAAAATAAGGGTGTTGGAATCAGTGTCCTTGAAGGAACCTTCCAGCTTTAAATCTATGATGATGTGATAGAACCAACAAGTTTGGCAGCTGGTTGTAGGTGTGGTAAGACTGAGGACTCAAAGATGATGTCAGAGTTGTATCTGGAAGGATGGTGGTATTCTGGATAGTTATAGGGAAGTGGTTCTGAACTATTTCTCATTCAGGTTTTCAGCCTTGGTATCATCCTCAGTGCTTTAGCAGGAACTTTCTTTACATTGATAAATTCACAGTTCCACTTTAAAAAAAAAAGGCAACACAACATAGCAGTCCAGTAATATGGCTCAATGGATAGAGTGCCAGGCCTAGAGTCAGGAAGATTCATCTTCCTGAGTTCAAGTCCAGCCTCAGACACTTACTAACTGTGTGACCCTGGGCAAATCACTTAACACTGGAAAGGCTTTTCACAAAAGACATTGCATGACCAGCATCTTTTTTCTGTTAAGCAGAAGAGGGATTCTAAGAGGTAGGGAGGTAAGGAAGGGAGTGCATCCTATCCATACGGCATGGGCAGTGCAAAGGCATAGACGTGGAAAATGGGTATTGTGTGTAAGGAACAGAAAGAAGGCCATTCTAATTGGATCAGAGAGTGTGGGAGGGGAATAATGAGGCTGGAAAGACAGGTTGATGCTAGATTGTATAGGATTTTAAAAGCCAAAGAGGCAAATTTATATTTTACCTCAGAGGTGATGAAAGGTCTCTAGAGGTGATTGGGTAGGTAATCACTGGAGGAAAATTATTTTGGCAGCAATATGTAGGATCAGCTGGAGTGGTGAGAAATTTGAAGCAGGGAGCCCAGTTAGGAGGCAGTTGCAGTAATCTAGTTGAGAGGTGATAAGGACCTGAACAAAGGTGGTATGAATGGAGAGAAGGAATGGGATGCACAAGCTGTTACAAATGTAGAAACCGCAAGATTTGGCGACTGATTGGATATGTGAGGTAAGGAAGAAAGAGGAGTCCAGAATAATGCCGAGATTGTGAACCCTGGAAACTTAAAAGATTGTGGTGTCTTTGATAAAAACAAGGGAGTATAGAAGAGGGAAGGGTTTAGGGGAAAGAGATAATGAGTTCAGTTTTGAAGATACTGAGTTTAAGCTATCTCTGGGAAAATTCAGTGTGAAATGTCCAGTAGGCAATGGCGATCTGGGACTGAAGTTTGAGGAAGAGAGTGGAGCTGAATATATAGATCTGGGAGTTATCTGTGTAGAGATGATAATTAAACCTTTGTACTCATAAGGACAAAAAGTATAAAGGGAGAAGAGGATCCAGGACAAAACCTTGTGGAATAACCAAATTTAGGGGGCATCATATGGATGAGAAGCCAGAAAAGAAGACTGAAGAGTGATCAGAGAGGTCAAAGAGAAACCAGGGGAGAAGGGTGTTACAAAAGTCTAGAGAGGAAAGAGTACCCCAAAAGAGAGTGGTCAACAGTTTCAAACAGATAAATCAAGAAGGATTAGAACTGAGGAAAAGACCATTAGAGTTGGTAATTAAGAGATCAGGTAACTTTGGAGACAGCAGCTTCAACTGAGTGATAAGGTTAAAAGCCATATTCCAAAGAGTAGAGGAGTGAGCAAAAAATGTGGAAGAAGCAAGCTTAGACCTTCCTTCACTCCTTGTCTCTCTTCCCTTCTCCTTCCCTCCCTCCCTTTTTTCCTTCCTTTTATATTGGGGCATCTTGTCTTTGACCAAGACTGGACATACAGCAGCCATTCCCAGACATGAACCCACTACTGATTGGTACAGACCTGACCCCTCCTCCTCAGGTAGCCTGAAGGTTTACCAGACAGTACAGACAAAAGATCAGCTTAGCCTCCTGCAGCTCAAAAGTCTTATGCTCAAGATATCCTCCAGTCTCAGCCTCCCCAGAATCAGGGGTTGCAGGCACGCACCATATCTATAGAATTATAGGCAAGGATGGGAGAAGATGTCAAGGAGTTTTGTGTGAAGATAATTGAAGAAGGAGCTAATATAGAATATGGCATAGCCTTATCTTTTTCAGGAAAATAAAAATTAAAGTCTTCAGCTGAAAGAGGAGAAATAGGCTAGAAGTTATAAGAAAAGGTTTGTAATGATTTCTTTGGGGAGTAAGATAAGGAATCAATTGGAAGGAATAAAAGGACCTACTTCAGTAAAAGCCTAGTTGCAATGTTTATAACATGAATTTGTAACTCATCAGGATAACTACATTAACATCCTTGAACTTCATTCAGTAGTTCATGAATGGGATCTGTAGAAATGGATGGTGTGAGTAATACCCAGCTAAGAAAAGAGCAGCAAAAGAACAGGGTGCCAGGGGATTCAAGAACAAAGGACAATATAGAGTTAAAATAGCTAATTACTTGGAGAGGAAAATAAAGTCAGAACTGAGGTAATGTCCTGAGAAAGTATTGAGGAGTAGAGGATATGGAGGTTTCAATGATGGTGAAGAACTGATACAGGAAGATTGAAAGATAGGGAAAGGTAGGATGATACTTTGTCAGAAAGTAGAATGTTTATAGGTAAAGGCAAGATAAAGTGCAATCATCCTTGTGTGTGGCTAAGATGAATTGAAGGCATAGGTCATGAGACTCAAGGAAGTTGAGGAAATGAGAGGTTAGGGACTTTGAGGGAGCATCTAAATGGATATCAAGATTTCCCTAGTTTAAGTCAGGAGTTGAGGAGAGGAAGGTCATGAGCATGGTGCTGAATTCCTTGAAAAAAGAGGAAGAATTACATGGAGTTTAGTATGCTGTAAACAAAATAATTTTGATTGGGTAGGAAAATTTAATTGAGTAGACTTCAAAAGAAAAAAGGTTACTGAATAAAGGAGACAGAGGGAACACCTGGAAATGATAATGGAGAGCATGGAGTAGTCTAACTCTCCCTGCATGACCAATGTGGCAATGTGAAGAGTTGAGTGGGGAGAAAGGGAAAACAAGAATGAATTTTATCTGAATGCACCCCCAAAATTTCATCAACCAACTTAGACTTTAAAATTTCATGTTTTGAAGATGGAAACAAGACCAGGTAACAAGACAGGGGATGAATATAAGGACCAAGGCCCTACAAAAATAGTATCCGGAGGTTCAAAGCTCAGAATGAGCTGAGGCTGGCATGGGAAGCTAAGGACAATAAAAGAAGGAATGGAACTTTTACTAGGGCTATATCGGAAAATGATAACTGTCAACAGAGAAAAGGCAGAGCTGGTCATCTATTTTTTTCTGCCATGGGAAATAAATAACAGAATAAATATATAGAATAGGCTAGATTAAACTAAAAATGATAGAATAAAAAAAGAATAGAATAACAAAGTTGATACTCAAAAAAGGAGAATAGTAAAAAAGTATCTAGTTGCCTTTGATACATTCAAGTCACCTGGTCTAGATGAACTATAACTTAGGTACTGAAAGAACTGTCAGAGTAATATTTGAAAGATCATAGGTAAAATAAGTAGAGGTACCAGAAGATTAGAGATGGGCAAATGTCCCAATTTTCAATAAAGGCAAAAGAAAAGAATCTGAAAATGATATGCCAGGGTGGGGGGAGTGTGAGAATATATGTGTGTGTGTGTGTGTGTATCTGTGTCTGTGGGTACACACATGTATACACACACACAGTATATAGTATGCACCTGAGAAAATTCTAGTATTGGATCATTAAAGGAAATGAACTTTTAGAAAGAACAAGCATGACTTTGTCAAGAATAGGTGGTAGACTTATTTCCCTTTTTTGACAGAATTACAAAAGTAGTAGATGAGGAAAATGCATTAGATAAAATTTATCTAGATTTTAATAAAGCATTTCATAAAATACTTGATGCCATTCTCATAGAGAAGTGCGGACTTGATAATATAGTTAGATGGATTCAGATTTGTTTGAATAGCCAGACTCAATAGTTGTTAGTAGTTCAGTCTTCAGTGTAGGAGGACATTTCTAGTGGAGCATCCCAGGGATCTGCACAGTTTAACATTTTTCTCAGTGACTTGGATAAAGGCATAAATGGGATGCTTGTCAAATTTTCAGATGACCAGGAGCTAGGAGGGATAGTCAAAATTAGATGAAAGATCACTGGGCTACATCTAATAAAATGAAATTCAATACAAGTAAATCTAGTCTTATACTTGAATACAAAAGAACACAACTGTACAAGTATAAAATGGAGAAGGTATGGTTAGATGACAAATCTAAAGAATATCTGAGGGTTTTTAGCTCAATACGAGTCAGCAATGTGGTGTGGCAACCAAAATAGCAAATGCCATCCTGGACTGCGTTAAGAGAGGCACACCTTCTTAGAAACTGAGAGGTCTAGTCCACTGTATTCAGCTCTAGTCAGACCACATCTAGAGTGTCCTGTCTTAGATCTGGGTGTCACAGTTTAAGAAGGACATTAATAAAATGGAAAGTGACCAGAAGAAGGCAGCTAGGATGGTGAAGGGCCTTAAGCCTCTGACATGAGAGGATCAGTTGAAGGAATTGGGGTTGTTTGGTCTAGAGAGGATTGAGGATTGAGATTGCGATAATTGTCTTCAAATATTTGAAGGACTGCCATGTGGAGGAGAAGTTAAATTTGTTCTTTCTGGCCTCAAAGGGTCGAACCAGGAACAATAAGTGAAGTTGCAAAAAGGTCAGTTTAGGCTTGAGGTAAAGATAAACTTGCTGGCATGTAGAGCTGTTCAGAAGTGGAATGGGCTGTCTCATTGGAAGTCTTCATGAAGAAACCGGGTAACCACTAGTTAGGCGTGCTATAGCAGGTGTGGTTTGGGCCAGATAGCCAGTGGTGTCCCTTCCACTTTGACAACACTCTGATTCTTTGCATCCAAGATGTAACAGAGAATCTCTCAAGACTTAGGATAATGGAGAACTACTAACCACTTCTGGTGATTCACATGGGTACAAGTGGTATTGCCAGAAGGAATCTAGAAAGCACTGCCAAAGATTATCAAAGAAACAGAAGACCTTTAGGGCATATGTTGTGTTTTCCTTAGTGCTGCCTATGGAAAGTAAGAGGTGCAGAAGACAAAATTTGATTTGGGAGGTAAACGGTTGATTTAGAAACTAGTATCTGAGAATGGAATTTGAATTTCTGCACCACAGCTTAAAATATAGACAATAGATTCTTGGCCAGGGATGAGTATGTTTATAGCATGTGACTATAGATTAGATCATCACTTGTACTGTTATAAATGCAGTCACAGCATTTGACATCCATGAGACTTGTTGTAGTGGTTAGTTATTTTAAATGTGTGTATCTATAGGAAAGCTGAGCAACAAAGCAATTCAGAAAAAAACAAACAACTCTGGTTTGTATTATGATTTCCCATACTGTTATCTTTCAGAAAAAGAAAGAATTCTTTTCCTAAGTATATTTTTGTGTGTATTGCCTTAATTTTCAGCACATGAAATAATGGATGATTCCATTTATTTTTGTTGAATAATTTACAATTTACTCTCAATTGTGGCATTTATGGTTAGATAAATGAAATCTTTTTAACTGTGTCTGAACATTCTAAATCAATTTGAAATGCACTTTATATCTTTAACCATTTTTATCCAGAGGCTCCAGCTTATCTTATAGACCTAATGCATGACAAAAATAATGAGATCCGCAAAGTCTGTGATAATACATTAGATATCATAGCGGTAAGTACTATAATTACACCTTCAACTCAAAGAAGTTACTCTTTTGTGTCACATTCTGAAATACAGAGTAATATACCCTTTTGCATTCTCTTTGTTTCTTTTTAAATGTCACTTTTATGAAGTGAAAATGTTTTACTTACTAAAGCCATGTTTAACTCACTCATGTATATGTTCAGAGCAAACATAAGTTTGTATTTTGTTAGAGTTCTAGAAATATTCTGCTTAAGTTCATGTTTTATAGATGAGAGGCTTTGTCCTCAATCAAGTTTATAATCAAATACAGGTTTCTTTAATTGAAACATTTATAAGTATTAAGTATTTTAAAGTATGCTTGCTGAACGTTTAATTGCTTTTTACATTTTTTTTCCTGTGTTAGTGTGTAATCAGCTAGGTAGTTCATATGGTGTAGTTAAAAAGGATACTGAAAACCCTGGGTCCACCAATCTTCCGTTCGTTATTGAAGGGGGATCTGTTACGTAGATTGCAGATCAGCTTTTTCTCAGTGAGAGCAACCTTTATGTTAGTTATTTGGAAAGTTATTCTTATTTAGTATCAATTCTTTTTGAATGATTTATTGATATGTGTTGTTTTAGAAGCCTTTATTATCATTTCCTCCTGTGGCCCCATCTCTAATTGAAAACAACAACCACCACCAAAAAAAAACCCCTTTGTATCAAATATGTATCAAAGACTAACAAGACAAATCCAGCGTTGCATATGGACAAAAATTCATGTCTTTATTCTGTCTCTTTACTGGAAAAAGTGCTGTCTTGTCTTTTGAAGTTACAGTTATTCATTACATTGATCAGAGTTCTAAAGTCTTTCAAAATTGTTTTTCTCTATAATATTGCCATTGAATAAATTGTTCTCCTAGTTCTGTTCACTTTACTCTGCATTAGTTCATGGAATTCTTCTATTTTCCCATGAAACTGTCCATTTCATCATTTTTTGTGGCACAAAAATATTTCATTATATTCATGTACCATCATTTGTTCATTTTCTAAAAAGTGGGTACCACCTCACCTTTAGTTTTCAATTTTTGCCTACTATAAAAAGAGTTACTATAAATATTTTTGTACATATGGGTTCTTTTCCTCTTTCACTTCAGAATATAGGCCTGATAGTGCTCTAGCTAGGTCAAGGGACATGTACAATTTGATAACCTTTTTTTTAAACTAGTTCCAATTTGCTCTTTCTGGTGTGCTTATTTTCCCAAAGCCTCTCCAGCATTTGCGAATTCTCTCTTTTGTCATCTTTGCTGAATTGATAGGTGAGAGATAGAAACTCAGTTACTTTAATTTCTCTAAAGATTTGACACATCTTCATATGATTGTTGACAGCTTAGATTTCTTCCTTCATTAATAATTACAGCCAACATTAAGATTTGCAAAACAGCTTTACAAAATATTATTTTATCCTTAACAACAACCCTGTGAGGGAGGTCCTTTTATTATCTCCATACGGATGAGGCTGCTGAGGCAGATAAGTTTAAGTGATTTCCCCAAGGCTGTACAGCTAGTAAGTATCTGAGGATGGGTTTCAGCTCTAGTCTTCTTCACTCCAGGACCAGCATTCTATCCACTGTACCACCTAGCTGCCTCTACAATAATAGCTAGCATGTATATTTAAGCTTATAGGACAACTAGGTGGCACAAGGAGTAGAACGCTGGGCCTGGAGTCACGAAGACGAATTCAAATGTGACCTCAGAAACTTACTAGCTGTGTGACCCTGGACAAGTTGTTTAACCCTGTTTGTCTCAGTTTCCTCATTTTTAAAATGAGCTGGAGAAGGAAATAGAAAACCACTCCAATATTTTTGCCAAGAAAATCCTAAATGGGGTCATGAAGAATCAGACATGACTGAAAAACTACTGAACAACAAGAAAATGTTTAAGGTTACAACACTTTAAGGTTTGTGAAGCACTTTATATATGTTATCTCATTTGATTCTCACAACTCTTAATAAGTGTTATTATCATCCCCATTTTACAGATGAAGAAATTCAAATATCTTGGTCATGAGACTTTATCAGAGAAACTTGCTACAAAGATTTTTTTCCCCAGTTACCTATTTCTCTTCTAATTTTAACTCCATTTGTTGTATTTGTACAAACTCTTTTTAATTTGATATAACCAAATTTGTCTTTTTTATCTTCTGTGATTCTCTTTATTACTTGTTTGGTCTTGAATTCTTCCTTTCTCCATAGAGCTGAAAGGGACTTTCTTCTTTATTCTTTTAACTTGTTTATCAAGTCATCTTTTATGTCTAAGTCATGTTTCCATTTGGAGTTAATATGACAGGTGGGTCTATACCTTATTTCTGTCAAACTGCTTTCCAGTTTTCTCAATAGTTTTTGTTCAATAGTGACACCTTACCCTAGTAGCTTGGGTCTTTGGGTTTATCCAACATTAGTTATTGTTTCTTTTGCTTCTCTATGTTATGTAACTAATCTGTTCCACCAGTAAACATTTATTAAGCAACTGTTGTGGGCCAGGCACTGTGCTAAGTACTGGGGATACCAAAAAATGGTTAAAAAAACCCCAAAAAACAATTCCTCCTCTCAAGGAGCTCATATTTTAATGGAGGAGACAACATGCAACTGATAATGTACAAATAAGCTATATATAGAAAAACTGGAAATAAACAACAGAAGGACAATGAAGAGGGATCAAAGATTTCCTGTAGAAGATATAATTTACTTGAGACTTGAAGGAAGCTGTGGAAGCCAGGAGGCAGAGATGAGGAGAGAAGAGAGCATCCCATGAATGGAGGACAGCCAGGGAAAATGCCTGGAGTTGGGAGATGGAATGTCTTGTGCAAAGACCAGCAAGGAGGCCAATGTCGTTGGATCAAAGAATATAAGGAAGTAGGGATTGGGGGAGGAATAAGAACACTGGAAAGGAGAAGGTATGTGAGTGAAGGGCTTTGAATGCCAAACAGAGGATTTTGGTTATTTGATCCTAGACGTGATAGGGAGCCTCTGGAGGTTGTTGAGTCAGCAGTGCTATCTTTTCAGCCATAGGACAGTCTCCCTCCTTCCTCAAGAAGTTCACAGTCTTGTAGTCTTTTTCTCCATCCCAACTCCTGCCTCATACATCTATATTGATGACTTCAGCATATAAATAAATATATGTGTATGTGTGTATATATAGATATATGCATGTATGTATATCTGTATGTGTATAGGAATACACACACATACCCTTGAACATCCTCCTAACTTCCTGGTACCTCAGTCAACAGCTTCCATGATCTACTTCTTCATCTTACCCCAGCTATAAGCAGGGGTGGTGATACCCTTGATTTCCACCTCTCCCTTCTTGATCCTACCCTGTTCTTTATTCTCTCTGTGGTCTCCAGTCTTTCCACTACTCATGTGTGATTGACTGATTGATTGATTAACTATGATTATTCAGGCCAGTGGGTAAGTGGCTAGCAGAACAAGTAGACAGGCTGATTGATGAAAAGTAGGCTTATATATACTCTCTTTGAGAACAATTGTAGGACATATATTTTGCTAACTTGTCATGTATCTTATTTATGTATACATTTTGTCTCTCCTATGAGATAAATTGTGATTTTCTGAGAGCAAGAATTGTATAGCTTATTTTTTTCTTGTACCCCTGATGCCACAGATAATGCCTTCCATATAAGTCCCTAATAAATGTTTATTGAATTGAATATGGCATGTTATTGTTAGATTAGAGCTTATGGCATGTTTGCTCTGACAAGAGGACACAGAATAACTAGATTGAATTAAAAAGAGAATACTGAAAACTCAATTGACTGCTAATTAACCAGAAATGGATAAACCACACGTTGGGAACCATGCATGGGAACCAATTCATCTGAGTTAGAACATTGGCCCAGTTCCTCACAGAAAACTTTCTGCAAGTACGGAAAATGTGCCATGCATAGTGGGAGCCCTGGCTATGAGAAATCGCCCCATTCCTTCCTAGGAATGCTTTTTTTTGCCTTCCTGTTGCCATGTTACTATTTGAGCCACATCCAAAGTCATCTCATCTAAGAGCTGTGCTATTTCCCAAAGCAGAATTCCTTTCAGCCCAGCTGGGTTGAAGGCTTGGACTTAGATCTTGATCCAGGTTTTATTGGTAAAATAATGGGAAGGAGATAATTGGGTATTTTGAATGTAATAGCAGAAAGCTGTATATGTGAGGTTTTGGGGACCAGACATGTCATATTTTATATCCCATTCCATATGAGCAGTCTAATAACACTTATTCAACACTGTAGCACATCTCCCCCCCCAGATAATCCTAAATCCAGTAGCATATGCACAATTAAGAGCAATGTGCAAATGGCTGGCCATTATAAACACTGGCCCCCGTCATATAATTAGGGGTTCAGATGAACAAATTTAGTATCATTAGCTAGACTTCCTTTCTATGGAGTTTTTAGTGTTGCCTACTTTTAAAATGCTTGTATAAGTAAATAGAAATTTAAATTAACCTAGGGGTACTTGAGTTGCACAGTAGTATTTATTAAACTCCAAGAGACTTGAATACCTAATTTAGGAGGAGAGAATTTCAGAATATTTTCAAGTTAGTCATCTGCGTTTTATGCTATCATTTAAGCTGGTGATATTGAAGAAATGAAAAGAAATGTGATTTCTAGATTTATGTTGAAAGGAAGGGAAGGAATGAAATAGGGAAGAAAGGAGAGAAAGAAGGGAGGGATGGAAAGAAGGAAGAGGAGAGGAGAGGAAGTCAAGAAGCATTTATTTAGCACCTAGAATGTGCAACCCTTGTGCTAAGTGCTGGGAATACAAAGAAAGGCAAAAATAATCCCTACCCTTGAGGAGCTCATATTCTAATTGAAAGAGACAATATCTATAAGACAGTATAGATATAGGGCATGTGTAAAGACCCAGGAGTTCCCTAGGGTTCATAGGCAGGTCAGATAACAGGGCCCACAGTGGCAAATAAGATAGTAAGACACTGAAGACTCTACCATTCAGTGGCAGTGAAGTTGACCAGGCT